TAAGACACTTTTTGGTCCCAAAATGGTGATTCTTGAGCATGACATGTTCCTGACCCATTAAGTCGTCCTTTCAGACCTTAGGAAGGGTCTTGTGTCATAAAAATGGGGTCTTAATGGTTGGTTTTTCTCCATGCATTCTTTAGAAGGTCTTAATGTATTAAGATGTTGAGTTAAGCACTTAATGGACATGCAAAGTCATAAAGTTGGAAACTTTATGACTCTTGAGGATGATTTAGCCTTGGATCTGAAAATTAGACGTAAGAGCTTAAGGAATTAAGCTCTTAATGGTAAAAGACAAAGCATTCTATCTTAGAATAACTCAAGAGGCAGGGGATAAGAAGAAAAAGAAAGCATTTGTTGTTCACGTGCGAAGGGGCCATCAAGTTTGGTCATCAGAGATGAAGATGAGGAGGCAGACAACAAAAAAGAAGTGAGGAAAACTATGGTGTTGTTTGTTTTTTCTGAGGCAAAATGTCTGCAGTCTGCGGACCACATCTGTAGACCTCTGCAGTAGAAGAGGTGGACCAAACGTCTGCAGTCTGAAAAAAGAAAACTGTTTGTTTTTTTAACATCTGCGAGCTACTAAAATAAACTGAAATCTAAATAAACTGATTTTTTTAAATTTCAAAGTGATTTTTTAATATTTTTATGAATTTGTTATAAATAATTAACGAATCTAGATCAACTTTTATGTATTATTGTATAAAAAATAAAAATAAAAATTGTATAAATTAACGTATATATTTGATAAAAACCAACAATTTTGGTTGCAAAGTTATAACTAAACATTATAATTAGTGATCAAAGAATTTGATACATAAATGGATGGAAATAAACTTCGATTTTTTCAATTAACTCCACTAAAAACATACCATAAATATTTTCTCGAGAAATTGACGATACTGTATTAAATAATTTTTTACAAAATTTGGCAAAACAATATAAGAATATATTATGATTTTGTTTTTCATATTTATATAAACAACTTCAACGACTATTATTGTAATAAATCTTTATTTATAAATTTGTCAAAAATATCATGTTTGTATCGTCGAACGTTTTTTTTTAAGTTTTGTAATTTTTTTTTTCAAATTTTTTATCATTAATAAAGTTGGAAAAAATATAAATTAAAAAAAAAACATAAAAAAATAAAGATATATATGTTTTTTTAGGCTAGAAGATGTCTGAAGATGTTAGAAGACTTTGGTCCACATCTGCGCCAAGAAGAGGGCGCGCAAACATTTTTAGGTCTGCAGTCTTCAAAAAAACAAACGGTCTGCGAAGGCTAATGTCTGCGCGTGGTCTGCGCGGTGCAGACAGAAGATGTCACGCAGATCTGCAGACAAAAAACAAACACTACCTATGTCTTGTTGCAAGGAAGGGAGACAACTCCAAAGAAAGATCAACAAAGCTAAAAAAAGAATTACTGCTTCATGGCAAATGAAGGAAGCATAAGTAAAAATCATGATCTCATCTAATCTTTATAATTTGAAAGATTGCGAACCTCACTTAGAAAAACTTACTCAAACGTGTGTTGGCGTCCTTTCAAATTATAACAAAGCCTTAAATGAAAAGAACATAGCGACCCACGAGATGTATCACTTAAGAGGTTGTCTAGAAGACAAGAAGCTTAAGGTTACAATGCTTGAGAGATATTGTTTGTTAGAAAAAGATGTTACGTTCCTTAATGAAACTACGTTAGATGTGATGGGTTTTGATAACTAAAAAGGATCCCTTTTTTTTTATAAAACCATTTTTAACGGCAAACGGAAGACTTTTGAAATACCTAGTTTCTTTTTAGATCATTTTAGCAAAAACACCAAGAGGATCCAAATACATAAACTAGTGGACTGTGAAGAAAGAAAATTAAAAATCATTCTTCCTCATTCTATTGATAGGAAATATATTGCAGTAACTTGTGGTTACCTGGTATTGTTTGGGAGGAACACCCGTGACTTTTGGCTTGTGAATCCTATCACAAAGCATGAACTTCATTTCCCTGCTATCACTGTGGATGTCTATGATAATGAATGTTTTAGGTCTATTCTTGTCTTTTCATCTTCAATATCTGGATGGGTGTTTGTTTTGTTAAATTTATCCACGAAAAAATTATGGTTTTCTATAGCGGGGAAACAAGAATGGACTCATGTCTCCACCCCTGTACGCGTCAGTGGTTTACATGTTTTCAAAGGGAAGATATATATTCTATACTTTGTTTCCCCTTCCGATCAAGTTAGTGGTTTATGTGAAATCAGACTCAGTCCGGAGCCGGTATTTATATTACATGATATCAAGAATTGTCCAAAGGAAGCCTTCATACATTCAGAGTTTGTAAGTTCCAGTGAAAATCTTTATGTGATAGTTCTTTTTTCAAATCATCCAGACAAGATTTATGAAATAGATTTCGATGAAATGAAATGGGTGTCATGTGAAAGGACAGGTGAAGAATATGGATTATTTTGTAGCGTCAACAAACACTTTGTTATTGGTACACATGAATCATTGGCTGGGCATCCGTCACAACATAGGATGTATCTTACTCATAAAAGTGGAAAATGCATGTTTTATATTGCAAAAATGTGGTACTTCTTCCATGATTCTTTAATTGTTAATGTCCTAAAAGAGTGATGACTTGTTAGCACGTCTACCTTTCTTTCTATGATGGACACATATGTTTAGTACATTGTCAAGACTTTTGAGAATTGACATTGGTATATTTTCATGTTACATTTTTTTAATAGTATTATTTTCACTCATCCTTTTGATTCATAGGGCACAAATATCACCTTATATCTCATTTTATACTGTATTTGTTTTCACTTTGTTTCTAGAGCATAATGTGTGTATTGGCATCATGTTGTGTTGTGTATGAAGGACCTTTTCGTGGTCTTTTTGGAGTGCATTAAGATTTAGGAGTAGAGTAAGAGGTGTAATGGATGATGTTGTGTTGTGTAAGAGATCATGTTGAATCAGAACAAATCACATATGTTCATAATTATTTTTCTCTCACTACTCATTTGAATCAAAATAATCAGCACTTTATTTTTATTATTCATAAAAAATATTATTGTTTGGAGTATTTTAGGATACACTGATTTTGGCAATTAAGAAAGCTGAAAAAATGTTGTGCAACAACTATAAAGACACTAAACATCATATTATTTTGCTATCAAATTACACATATCATACCGTAATCTTATGTATTCTCTCTATTTTTCATGAAACCATAAAATACAATTATGTAGGATTTAAGTTCTCATGCAAGAACTTGAATTAAGATAGTTGTCTCTTCTAGCCAGGCGTCCACGTATAGTTATAGAACATTGTCACGACTTTCAGTCTCCAACCTGATTGATTTTGGTTATTGCTCACTATTTTGTTAGTATGATAAATTTAAAACTTAATTTGATTACAAGGATAAATTTTAGTAAAATGATTTTTTGGGGTGTATATACTTTATTAATGCGTGTAAAATCAAATAGTAAAATAAATATAAAAAATTGTTGTATTTCTCCAAATTTTCATCTACAAACTTTTTTCATGTAACTATGGAACTATGACTCTAGATGTGCACATTACGGCCGGTCCCAACCTCCATCGATGTAGAACACAGCTATGGCACAAGGTGCATGCAACACACGACATGCCTCTTCGTCCACACACGCTGGAGCATGAGAACATACCCACAAACTTTGAATATCATGCATTAAAGTTTGAAAATATATGCATCTTAATAAGATACAATATATTGTAAACATATAGATTCTACTACTAGATATATAACATTGTTAACTAATATAAGTAACCAACATAATATGGAAATAATATTTTATAGAATTGCTTATAAGATCTTGTGATAGCAAATATACTGTACTTATTAAGACAATGAGTCTAAATGTAATTGGTTTATATAATACAATAGACGTGTGATGTGTACACCCGAAACGAACCAAAAACACCCAAATACAAACCGCAAAAAGAAACAAATGAAAAAACCAAGAGGACAGACTGGTCTTAAGACCGGCCCTGTCTTGAACAAGGCCGGTCCTAAGAAAGACCAGACTGTCTGGGACACACCAGGGTCGGTCCAGGACAGTTTTTGAGCACCTCTATACGACTCTCCTGTCAAAATTCACAGTTACAGTATTACATATAAAAAAATTTGAATAGGCTTCCACTGCATTTGCATCAACTCAGCCCATAACTCATACAAACTGAAACTGGGTAATCACTATACTAAACCACCTAGGGCCCAATGGACTGTCGATCCCAATAACATCGTGATTTACATTTTACAAGAACATGGGAATTGGGATACGAATACGATACGCATTGGAGGCAGAAGCCACATAGAAACGGCGATACTCTTCGCGAATTCGGCTAATTACTTCATAATACATCCTGCTTAAGTTCCTCATTCTCAGTTTTAATCAGGTGATTTGTTTCTGAATAACATCTCGATTTTGTTTATGACTGTTTGGATGTTAATTCTTCATCATATATGAATACTAAACATTAGCTTTTTGTTGTATCTATTCTTGTGAACGAATATTGGTCAAATGCAATTCACTCCAACTTTGAAAATCCATAAATTTCAATCATGATAATTAATGTTCTTCAGTATTAAGTGTCAGTAAGATTATGGTTGTGGATTGCACACTTATAAACATGGGATTGATCCATCTCTGTTTTATAAGATTGTGATTTATCTTAGTTTCTATTGATTTCCCCTTTCATTTTGTATTTAAATCCTTACATTTCTCGGCACACTTTGATTCTATATTATATATCCATAAGCATTATGATTTTGGGTACGATAAGTATTTAGCAACTGCGAGATGATTACATTTTCTTATCCATTCTAATAGTACTTATTGGAACTTGGATCATTACTTGTTGCATCTTGTTTTGATAATGTTTGAGGGTAGTGGTTGTTTATTCGTTTATGTTAATTTGTCGGCTATTTCTAACTCCTTTATTTTTGTTGTGCAAGTGCAGGAATGGCTAATGAAAGGAGTACTATAACTAGTGATAATGGTGATGAGAGACCTTGGTCAGATCTCAACCATGATTTGCTTCTTTTAGTTATGATGCAACTTGGAGTCATTGATTTCCTTGCATTTAGTGGAGTTTGTAAGCCATGGAGATTAATCGCATTATCTAACAAGAACAAGTTTCTGGTGTCCAGACCACCCATGTCCTTATCTTTCTCTACCAATGCTAATGAGACTGAGTGTTGCCTTGAGGACTTTGAAGGAAGAAAATTCAAAACCATTGTTCCCCATTCTGCTGAAAGGACATGTATTGGAGTAACTTGTGGTTACTTGATCTTGTTTGGTGTGAAACCCCGTGACTTTTGGCTTGTTAATCCGATCACAAGACATGAACTTCATTTCCCTAATGTCCCCTTTAATTACAGTTATGTCTGTAAAATATGCAGGGCTATCCTTGTCTTTTCACCTTCATTATCTAAGTGGGTGTTTGTTTTCTTAATCAAATCCTATGGTAAAATATGGTTTTCTATAGCTGATAAACGAGAATGGACTCATGTCTCCAACATTTCCTACATCTGCGATTTATATGCTTTCAAGGGGAAGGTATATACCTTACACGATCATTATAGTGATTATAGTATAAGTGAACTGAGGCTATATCCAACACCCAAATTGACGTTACTTGAAAGTATTGATTTTCAGAATCCATTTTTTCAACGTCCCTTGTTTGTAAGTTCAGGTGAAAATCTTTATGTGATGGATCTATATGTTGGATATCAGTACAAGATTTACTATGAACTCGATTTCGACAAAATGAAATGTGTGTGGCGTGAAAAGACAGGAGAAAAATATGCATGCTTTTTTAGTGGTTTGTCATATGTTGCTGCTATTATACTAATAGAGCCGGGGTCTAACCTTCACACACAATACAAGAGATATGCTAGATATGGTGTTACTACTAGATCGGGAAAAGAAAAGCACTTTTATGCAAAAATGTGGTACTTTTTTCATGAATTTTTCAATGAGTGATGAATTGTTAGCACACTTATATTTGTTTCTATGATGGATGATTATGCTAAATCATGGTTAAGACTTTTGATAATTGCGGCTGCTATTTACATGAATTGCCTTTTGGTGGTATGTTTTACCTTTTTGATCTATGGTACTTTATAAGTATTTGAAGTATAAAAGTGTTCATGAAGATTCTTTTTGTCATGTCTTTGAATTGGCAGATAGATTTTTAACATCATTTGTAGTTATGTGCCTTTACATTCCATTTATGGACCACCATATAATATTATAATCATAATTAAAATGAATAATATGAAATTATAGACAAGGAAGAACCTTATATACATGAATTTGGGATTCTATTGTATATTATGTGCATGCTCAGTTATGAAACGGTGTTACTACTGCGAATACTAAAAGAAAGATACAAACTTTTTACTTGCCTAAGTATATGGACGCTTATTCTTTACTTAGGCAAGTCAAATGTTTTTATATGATATGTTAAACCACCCAACTTTCATTTTTGTTCATTTATGTATAATTTGATTTTTCTAACCTGTTACAAGTGAACAAAAAATGCAATTTGGAAATTTATAGATTACTTATGAATAACTCTTGATTTTTACGTATAATATTTGTAACTAGAGGGTTTTCCCATGATTTGCATGGGGCAGATGAGTTCTAAAATGTTTTATGTTTAGAGATACAAGAGTTTCTTTTAGAGTATTATATATTTCATTACATGATCGAAACAGAGTACGTGTTACATATTCGTCCTTGAAACCCTTGACGATGCTCTTCTTTTTGATGACTGAGGTTTGCACTTCTTCTATGATGGTGAGGAGGGTCCTCGTCGTCTTCAAGTCTGATCTCTCAGCATCGATCAAGACTCAAGACCTAGAGAGGTGTGGAGATCATATGCAAAAGGATCATCAAATCTTGCAGTGTAAATCAAGCCATGGTTGCATCACTTCAAACTATAAATAATTCAAACAATATAAGGGCCTGTTTGATACAGGGTTTAATTGGGCCCAAAGGGGATTGAGTCCAAAAAAAAGCCAATTGACATGTTTGATAAGGATTAGAAAATGAAGGACTCGGTCCAAGTTTTTCTACTGTTTCGGTCCTTTCTTTGCAATCGACGGACTGGGAACAAAAGTCAATACTTCCCATTTGCCCTACTATTTTTTTGCACGTCTCCACTGAAGAACTAGAGAAACCCAAGACAACTTGAAGACGTTCACTTCCACAGTTATCTTCCAGTTGATTTCTCCCCCCGGCGAAGCAATTAGAGCAAAATACTTCCGACGACATGGTATCTGTTGCTTCCCATCTTCTTCGTGAGTTTTTATGTATCAATTTTTTTTGTGTAACACCATATTGGTGTCGATTTTTGCTGTATGAAGTTTTTTCCCTATATGATGTATGAAATCAGAAAGTTTTTTTTCTTTAGCTGATAATTGCTTCAAAAAATCTTGTATCGCAAGTTGGTTCTGGTCCCACTCTATGAATTGCTTCAAGAATTTTTTTAGATGATAATGAATGCCACTATAGCTTTTTGAATTAAAAAACAAGAAAATGTATATCAAGTTGTTATAGAGATCGCATGGAATGTGTTTACCTGTTTAATGGTAAATTAGGATAAAAATTAACTTCATGCATTGTATTAATTGGTTTTCTTGAATTTAGTTATGGAGTAATAATGGTCAATTGTAAAATGTAAAGCTTGAATTTGTGTTAGAGATATTTTAAACTCATGCAAGTTGTCATTGTTTGATTGAAGTAATTACTAATGTGTAGTGATGGGTACAGAACAGAGAAAGAAGGCGACAATAGTAGCAAGAGGAAGAGAATGATGATGATGAGTGTGGCCGATCGAGAAAAAGAATTTGGTTGATTCTTTGTTGCAAGTTTAAATGGTTGGAGGTAGAGAAATGTCATGGTGTTGGGCGATGAGATCATCAATTCATCATTTTACTTATAGCATGTAAATCTTTAATTTATTTATTTTTTACTGTAGGTTGAATGTGTTTATAAAAAAAATATAATGTTATAAATTAAATGGTAAATCATAAAGGAATTATTATAAAAATATTGTTTGAGGGTAATATAATCATTTTGCACAGTCAGTCAGATGCAAAATCAAACAATAAGTTTCAGTCAAAAGTTAACTTAGTCAGAACTTCTAATCCAGTCGGGTTCTAACCTAGTCAGCTCTAACCCAATTAACAACTAGCAAACAACCCCTAAGTTCAATTATGTGAATGAGAATTTCATCTAGGTTCGGGCCTTCCTTTTTATCTCCATCCAGTAATAAGTTAAAAATAGAATAGCAAATTAGGGTATTGAATGGAAAAATGACCTTGTGAATCCACTAGGGGGTTCTTTGCTAAAAATAACCATCCTAATTGTGTTTTCAATTCAAAGTGTCTTTTATAAGAATAGAAAAACAAAATCATATAAAAATAACGAATGACTCTTGAAATCTTAGTGTTTTTTTTTTTTTTTTTGAAGTTTGTATTACCCTGTTGCAATGCGAGTTGTGATTTCTGTCGCAAGTAAATGTTTGACCAAACGACTAGCACCTACAATTAGTCATTGAAATTTTAATAATAATAATAATAATAATAATAATAATATTTGTTACAAGATTATTATAAAAAGTGCATGTTTGTCGGTGTTATCGATAGCGATAGCAAGGTAATAGCGACCACCTACATATACGCTACATAACGATAGCAATTGGTAGTGATGGATATTTCATATTTAACGATTGTCTATTAAAAAATTACTATTATTTTTACCTTTACCTATTTAGCAATTATAAGTAATAAATAAGCTAAAAACCAAAATTATTAGCTCAAATAAGTTCTAAAACATGAATGCTACATAACTAAGTAACAATGAGCATTCAAATTATAACTGAGAATAACAGAAATTTTAAGTACATAGGTGTACAACAAAGAAAGAAACAAAATAGAGTGTAAAAAATTCTGGAAGAAAAAACCTTTGAAGTTGATATAGAGAAAAGGAGAAGTGCGGTGTATGAAAACTTTCGTTTATCACACTACTTGGAATCAAACTAATATATATCTCGGAAAAAATTTCTCCTGCTTGTTGTAATAACAATTTATCTAAAAACAAAAGTTCAATTTTACTTAAAAATATAACTTCTAACACTTCAAACCAAATTTCCAGCAACTAATACATTTAACTGGGAAGCACAAAAAAAACACCTAGAACGAAAGTGGTAACATTGGAATTGTGGTATAGGCAATTGAAGGAATTGTAAAATAGGAGTACATGAATGTGGAAATATTTAATCAGTTGAATAGAATGGAAGCATTAATCGAATTAACAGAATTCAGAAATGGAATCAAAGAGGCTGTGAAGCATAATTTTTTCCGATCGATGGTTTTCCCGCCAATCTCCACATCGATGATCCAAACTTCCAATTGGTGATCCCAATCACGAATTGGACTAATTTCAATCAATAAAAACATGTTACAACAATCGATTTTGTCATTTTATTAAAAAAAATTAATTTATACCAGATTAAGAAAAACCTTCTCAAACAAGAACATGCAAAAGAGCTAAGTTCAAATTCTAATCATATGTAATTTAGTTCCTGATAGTCCCTCGATAACTGAAAGAAAATATTAAATGTCTCACTAATGATTTCAGTACTCCCAAAGCACCATGAAACCCCTTCTAATTAACAAGCAATATGGTCGTACAACTTGCTCACGAGTCGAAAAACTAAGAAAGGATCAAAGTCGGTGGAATCATACCACCCAACCCAAGCATTAACAGAAATATAACAAAACACCATAACATAACATAAACATATTGGCCATAATAACGGGTGTTGGATCACACACCATCCCTTCGGTTCTTTAGAGACAATCATCATTTACATGTTTCTAGCAAAATATGAATAAAGTACACTTTCTTCTCCTTTACTAACAATCTCTGTTGTAATTATCTTCCTAACTACATTAGAAACACCCTGACATATGAGCATGACAAACTCCTCCATGTGTCTTTCCATACCCTACAGCAACAATCGTGACTGCACTTACCTCGTAATAAGCATCAATAGTTTTCAACCCCTTAGCCGTTAGCAATGTCTAATCATGCACCACCTTCCTCATCCTCCGTCGGACCTCCATTCCGGACCCTGGAATCATATTCTCAATCTAGATCAGAGACACTCATTTTTATCTAAACTAGGTCGAAGACTCGACTCGTGACATGGTCTCTACCTCCAACATAGAACAAACAAAACTATCATATTCCCAATATCCCGTTACCGTAAGAGGGAAAAGATTCACAACAAGCTGAATCTTGACTCCTCGGGGCAAGAACTAGTGCGGAAAACTCCATCCCTCTATTTTGATAAGAGTCTGACCTTTTTTCCTCTCGAACACGAGATGTTGGAATATAACGTTGTCATAGCTAGCGATAGTTCAAACCATCGGCTGACCATCCTTGGCACAGACCATCCTTGACATAAGTTATAATCCCTATATCGATCATCACAATCACTTCCTCCTTGAATTCCATTACCTAAAATAGTACTACCTCGAACAAGGCCTTTAAGACTTTAGAATCAACCAACTTATGCATGTCTGTATTGTAGGCTTTTGAGCATTCTAACACTCCTATGGTGTACATGCAACCCTAAATACCTTGGATCTATGTTTTCTCTATTATACATGCAAATATCAATTTTCCAAGGTATTGTTCTAACTAGCATAATATAAAGTACAAGTAATATAGAAACTAGTAGAAATACATACCTCTTTGATGGTGCTTGATTCCATGGAGCTCAAGAGCCTAGTGCCCCAAATGTGACACCTCAAATGGTTCACACAACATCATATGCACTTGGAATAACTTAGAGAGAAATCATCACTTCATGAAATCGGCTTGCCCTCTTCATGCATACATCGTGGCCGATTTTGCAAGAATAAGATGCTTATATAGTTGTTACAATTAGGGTAAACCCTAATTGT